ACCATAACATTAATAGGATTAAAACGACACATCGAAAACTGTTTAAGCGGGCTATCGCCGAACTGATCCTGATGATGACTGATCCAAGTTAGTACATAATTTCTATAAAAAACTTACAAAATACCGTCATAAGGTCTAAAACTGCGTAGCGCCCGCGACGATTAAGACCGCTTAGAAATACCTTAAAATCTTAAAAAACTTAAAAAGAAAATTTAAGTAATTAAAACAATAAGCAAGCATATAACGAATATTGGTGTTATGAATGTATTTGAGTGCTTTCCAAGCATATAGATTAAGTAATTTCGTTGTCATTTCAACTATAGTGATTTTTTAAAGGTGTTTTTGCAAATAATTATGATTGAGTTAAAATTATACAATGGTGTTTTTGAACTAGCAAATTCAAAATAAAGACATGAATTTACCTATATGAAAATTCCAATTTCGTTAGTCATGTCATAATCCTATACAATTCGATGAAAGGAGGCCTTGAATACCAACCCAAGCATACAACTGCAAGATTTCAAGATACTTTTAGCTTATTCATTGGGTAATTTTAAACTGAAAGTAGCATTGGAGTGTTGAACACCTCAGTTCTCCCGACACGATGGGACCAAAGTGCTCTAAACATCAGCAACAAAAAATAAGTTAACACACGCGATGAAATCCGTAGAAATCAGTTTAATTTAAACTAATAATATTTTATTAGTTTAAATTTTAATTAAAATTAGTGTTGCCAGTGATGACTTACGGAACTGAGACGTGGTCCTTCGCAGCTGGCCGTATGAGGAAGCTCAAGGTCGCTCAGCGAGCTATGGAGAGGGCTATGCTCGCAGTTTCTCTGCGTGATAAACTTAGAAATGATACTAGAGTAACCGACATAGCCCAAAGGATTAGTAAGCTCAAGTGGCAGTGGGCCGGCCATATAGCTCGAAGAACCGACAACCGATGGGGAAGAAAGGTTCTCGCGTGGCAGCCTCGTACCGGTAGGCGAAGTGTAGGGCGACCCCCCACGAGATGGAGTGACGACCTGGTAAGGCATGCAGGAAGTCGATGGATGCAGGTGGCTCAGGACCGTGCTTTGTGGCATTCCTTGGTGGAGGCCTATGTTCAGCAGTGGACTTATAAAAGGCTGTAATGATGATGATGATGAATAATATTTTATATTTGCCATTATAATCTAAAAGAGAGTGTATGTCTCTCGTTGGAATATATCGATCGATATGATCGGATCTATGTATTCAATATCTTATAACACACACAGATTTAAAAAAAATCATCGGTATCGACATAAAACGCGCCGCAGTTGTATTATGACTGCAACAAGAATGGTTTGACTCGAGAAATGAACGAATTCTAATAGAATTTCACCGTAAATTAGCAACATACTGTGCTTCTTGTGTGAATGGAATCAATCGGACTCGTAGTTACTCTCTTTTTACGCATCTGTAATCTAACTGAGGTCTAAGACTAACCTATGTCTATGATGTTTACAGTAAAGTATAATAAACAAAATTTATGTATTGGATTTATAATAGATAGATAAATATGATCACAACTCTTAATTTCGCAAACAGCTCAAATGGCTCCGACCCGCCTTCACAAGAATATTCAGATACTCTTCGCTTTGTATGGCGTGCTGTTTAATCCTTCCACTTCTCATTATTTAGAAGACCGTTTTCAGTATCTTTCCCTTACGATCGATGTCGATCCTCTGTCAATCATTCTCTCTATACTACTTGGCACTCTTCCTTCTTTTAAAGAAATCCTTTACTGTCAGTGCTGTGTGCTTATGGAACTCTTTACCTCTCCACATTCGTCGTACTAAATCTCTCAATTCTTTTAAATGTCTTGTTATTCATATTACTTAGAATGCTATTAGATATTTTACTTTTCCTTTTTTACTTTTTCATTTATTCTATTGTAAGAAACTATTCCACTTCTGATATTAGAAATTATTCTGAAAATTATTTAAATAAAATAACACTACTCGGTAACAAACCCTCCTTACTATCAGAAACCATACTGTAATCCAATTGTTAAGAATATAAAAGTGTGAGAGCATATGCTCAACTTTCTCTCCTGCTTACGCAACCAATAATTATCAGCAACAATACGGTTCGACCAACCGTAACATGTTCCCGTCACAAACACACACAAGTGTAACGTGAAGGAACCAATTACATGATAAACTAAAGTATGCAAATCAACAGCAACACTACCCATCTCAATGTAATATAGGGCAGCTTCTCAGTAACACGATCTGCCTTGCCTAAACTAGTAGAACACCTATACGGGCATAGTAACGACAGTGAGACTCGTAGAATTACCGACTGATCCCTCTTAGGCCCTTCGCACACGGCGTCGTATCGTAAGCGTATCGTAATACGCACGTAGGATGAGAGCAATACGAGCGCGTACATGTTCAAAAAAGTCGGCACACGAAGCGGTGCTGCAGCGAATCGTAGGAGGTGTCTACTGTCATTACGATAGTTGTAGTGCACTGGCGTAAAAATAGTGGCAAATTGTACTACTCTGACTTTTGTACAATTTGTCGAAGGGTATGTATGTGGTCTATAGTGCTAAAGCCTTTACGGAAACCGGCTTGTTCGGGAGGCTGGAAGTCGTCAAGTCTGCGCGCGAGACGATTCGTAATGACTCTCGAAAACAGCACGTAGACGCGATTCAGAAGGGAAATCGGTCTGTAGTTTTTCAAGAGAGCGTTGTCACCTTTCTTGAAGAACAAGACCACCGCACTTCTGCTCCACGCCTCCGGTGTAATGCCACCATGGAGGACGGAATCAAAGAGCTTCTGAAGGACTTCAAGTACCGGTTTTCCACCCGCTTTCAGAAGCTCCGCTGTAATTCCATCCTCGCCTGGAGCCTTGCCGTTTTTAAGATGCTGGAGAACCATTCTAATCTTGCTCAGACTGACGTTCGGGATATCTTCGGAATAGTGTCGGATAAAACTCGCTCTTGGATCGTTACTCACACTTGCGTGTGACTCCAACGATGACGTAAACAGCTGCCCATAGAACCTCTCATTCTCACTCAAAATCTCAGGTGCCCGGAAACGATGCTGCCACACTCGGTCCTCAGCTTTGACAGTTGGCTCTTTCTGGCAGACAGATCTCTGGCAAAAACTTTGGAGCCTTGGTTCCACTCGATTGCTTCTTCAATACAATTCAAAAACTGTACAAAAAGGGTTATTATAATATCAAGGAATACATGCATGAAAATAACCCCTGTGAATAAGGTGATCGCCACCATGCTGGTTCTATGAAAAATTATTTAAAAATTGTATAAACGAAATTGTTTGAAAAGAAAAGTCCCGCTGGGTTTCTTGCTGGTTCTTCTCAGGACAGAGGTAGTTTCCGATCCAGTGGTAGTTAAAAAATGACTTTCAATAAGAATTATGTAATAATCGATATTGAATAAAAAAATATTCTATTCTATTCCATTCTATTCAAGCTGTATTGAAGTTGCGTGAGTCCCGCCGCATGCATTTGGAGATCTGTCTGTTCAGTTGCCTGTATGCTGTCAAATCTGTTGAAGAATGTAGCTTGACCTCCCGTCTAACAACCATGAGATGAAGAGTGTGATCGGAGAGTTTTTGTGTTCTTCTGCGGCGCGTCTTGCAGAACTTAGCTCCGACCGCATGAACAGTTTCCACGAGTTTGTCGTTTTCTAGGCACTGTAAAACGGTTTTGTAACTCGAGCTGAAAGGTTTCAGGACTTTGGCACAGAGCACGAGGGTGACGGAGCGTTGACTTCATTAGACGAGACCTCTCCAACTTAACGTTTAGGTTCAGTGTGCCTCTCACCATTCGGTGATCGCTGCCGGTTTTCACCCTCGCGATAGACATCACTGAACCGTTGTCGTCTGGTCGTCATAATGAAGTCAATCTCATTTTTTGTCGAACCGTCGGGGCTCGACCAGGTCCACTTCCTGTGGGGCCGCTTCTGGAAGAAAGAGTTCATCATAAAGAGTCCCTTTTTCTCCATGAAGTTAGCCAGCTGCTGGCCCCTTGGGTTCCGTTGCCCTATTCCATATTTCCGTACTTTCAGCTCACCGTTCTCTCTTGTGCCTAGTTTTGCATTGAAGTCTCCCACTAACACCGTATATTGGGTTTTGGAGGAATGCATGGCTCTAGAGATATCCTCATACATTTCCTTCACCTCCTCATCGGGGTTTGCCGAGGTTGGTGCGTAAACCTGTATGACCTTCAGCGAATACCGTTTGGTGATTCTGAGTATAAGGTACGCAACCCTCGTCGACACACTCTCGATCTTTACAAGGTTGTTAACGAGAGACTTGTGGACGATAAATCCGACACCTCCTTGGGACAGATGGTCGCCCTCCCGGTGACAGAGCAAGTTTGCCGGATTCGAGGATTACCGTGTCCTCCGCCTCTCTTCGGACTTCGGATAATCCTATAATATGCCAGCGTTACTTGTCTGTCTCTTCTTCCAGCTCCACGATTTTCTCGTCAGTCCTCAGGGTGCGTGCGTTGTACGTTGCCAAGTCGAGTCGTCTGAAGTGGCAACCGAACCTCCACCGGAGATTCTTAGCACCCCCTGCCCCGCCGTTACCATGGTCGCCACCGTAGCCAGGAATAGCGGAGCCGCCGGGGACTGGGGGCCGTCTCTTGTTACTCTCTTCATAGGGGGGTATTTGCCATAGTTGTCACGCTTGGCGAGCGGGTTGGCATCCGCAGTTTTTTTTAATTGTAATTTCGGCTACTATCAGGAAGATGCTGCTGCCCACCTCCTGCCTGTTTCACTTTGTCGCCTTTTACGACTTTTTGTACATATTATAGTTATTTAAATTTACAAAAGTCACACATAAATGAATTAAATTTTTTTATTAACCAATATTCTATATTAAACAATAGGTAAGTGTTGATTTTAAGTTATCAATAATAATAATATCTTAATTAGCACATAATATTATGATATTTTAAGATAATGGTGTTTCATGCTTTATATAATTTGTGTAAGTTTTAGTTCGACTTCACTTTCTCGATGTCCTTCATTGGCATCATGAGATTGACGAGTTGTGCAATCGGGGCTTCAATCAGTATCCAGAAAGGAAACGCGACTAAATAGCAAAGTATACCAGTGCCGACTTGTATTAACATCTGAAATTATATAAATATGTTTGTCAATGCTCTCGTACTTTATTCTTTATAAGTTTCAACGAAGTGTATTGTAGTTTTCGCTAGCTACTTTTTTATTGACGGCTCCGTAGCGCAGTGGCTTAGAAATCAGTTGTTGTGCTGGGGGCCGCGGTTTCGAATCCCGCACGGAACAAGTATTTGTATGTCCTACAAATAATTGTTCCGGGTCTGGATGTTTGTCCTTGTGCAATTTATGTTTGTAAACTGCCTCCACGACACAGGAGAAAATCCTAGTGTGGGGGTAAAATTTAAAAAAAAAAATTTTGATGATTCTTCATAATATTGCTTAAACATAGCATTGTCGCATTGTTTCACAGCAGTAGCACTTTTAATACTTTCAACTATAAAGCTAAAAGCTACTCAATATAACTAAGGCGACTATGTACTATAATTAATAGAATTAAGCGTTCATTTGCGAAAATCTATTATATTAAAAATGTTAAACTCTTTTTAGCTAAGATCCGGGTAGTAAAATAAAATGATGTGTCTTACCTTTTTGAAGAGCACCTCTAGTCAATTGTGTGCACTATCCCCGTCACTACTAATCCTAATACCACTACTCCTAACACAACTACAGTAGAAAAGACACACCACCGTCGATAAAATTGACTACCGTCAATAGTTTCTCTTGAAATCTTTAAGCTTGCATCTTAATTACGCCTCGCAATGTAGTCTTTCTCACCCTCACTGCAATCCACAATTGCTTGCATATTTGAAGGATAGGCTGGTGCTTTACAATTGTTGGTTGTTAATTTTACAACAAACAGCTGGGTACGTCAGGTGGTGATTAATCGCATGTTTTATCGCATGACGTAGCCGCTCTCAACTTAAGTGGGAAGCGGTTGTGTCAGCGAGTTGTATAAATAGCAGCGGTTTTGGTTATTGTGGCTAGCCACCGCAGAGTCTATTTTACCTGACATGCCTCGTTTGTAGGCGAAACACCTGCCGTATTATGGACGGTTACGGTGGTGAATCTTTCATAGTGTAGTGGTGTTGGAATTTGTGGTGACGAGGATTTTTAACATCCTTAATAAGACACGACTACTACCATGCTGCACTACAGCAGCATAACTGCAACTATTACGCCATTTATATCCATGGATATCGTAGGAGATCACTATATGATTGGCTTTCTGGCCTCAAATGACGATATAATGTCAATACTTAAACTGGAAATGAATAATAACAGAAGATGGCAAGCACACTAAGCATGAAGATTGAAGTGAATTCCCCAGAACAGGACAGGCCTTTGTCCAGCGGTGAACTTATAGGACAAGATAATTTTTTTTTTAGAATAAAAGTGACATGCGAGCACGCAGTCCACCTAGTGATAACTGGTGGCTGTGGTCCATGACATCTACATCTATCCTTGTTTGCAAATCAAAACGCAGATGCGTTGTCAGCCGTGAGGACTTAGATGGAAAATCACGTTTCCAGGAAAAATGGTCCCCGGTTCTCTACACTCACCATATGTACACATCAGCATTAAACTGCTATTTTACGCTGGTATTCTGTGAGATCCTTCCCCGGTCTAGCAGACCCGTTCGTGCTAAAACTATAATATAGCTGCAGCGTGGCTCTACCACGTAAAAAGTAAAAAAAAATTATGACAGCGAAGAAGTTTATACTTTAAGGACATAGTCAGGTATAGGTAAAAGAAATATAAAATAAACAAACGCAACACCTAACACTCTTTCCAGGACAGTCTGTTAAAAACGACATCGCGAAAAAAGTATAATATATTGATCTAAATACTTACAAGGTATGGAAACGTCATGTGAAACAACGTAGTTGTTGATCCAATAATTGATCTGATCAGCAGCATATGTATTATGTATGCTGAATATGAAACCCTAGCGGAAGATGTCCAACCTTGCCACTCTAAAATGCCTCGGTAGATATCTGATTGATAAACAAGTAAGTGAATTAAAAACATTTATTGAATCTGTTTTAATACGTCGCCGTGTAGTGGCGGTTAAGAATATCCACTACCCCATATCTTCCCGTGGGTGTCGTAAAAGGCGACAAAGGGAAACAGGCAGGAGATGGGCAGCAGCATCTTCCTGGTAACGGCAAAAATACAATAAAGAAACTGCGGTTGCCAACCAGCTCGCCAAGCGTGGCAACTATGGCAATATACCCCCAATGAGCAATGACAATAATAAACGGCCCCCAGTCCCCGGCGGCCCCGCTATTCCTGGCTACAGTGGCGACCACGGTAACGGCGGGGCAGGGGATGCTAAGAATCTCCGGTGGAGGTTCGGTTGCCACCTACGACTACTCGACCTGACAACATACAACGCACGCACCCTGAGGAATGACGAGAAGATTGTGGAGCTGGAAGAAGAGATAGACAAGTTACACTGGCATATTATAGGATTATTCGAAATCCGAAGAGAGGGGGAGGACACGGTAATCCTCGAATCCGGCAACTTGCTCTATTACCGGGTGGGCGACCATCTGTCCCAAGGAGGTGTCGGATTTATCGTCCACAACTCTCTCGTTAACAACGTTGTAAAGATTGAGAGTGTGTCGACGAGGGTTGCGTACCTTATACTTTAGAATCACCAAACGGTATTAGCTGAAGGTCATACAGGTTTACGCACCAACCTCGGCATACTCCGATCAGGAGGTGGAGGAAATGTATGAGGATATCTCTAGACCCATGCATTCCTTCAAAACCCAATACACGGTGTCAATGGGAGACTTCAATGCAAAACTAGGCACAAGAGATAACGGTGAGCTGAAAGTGGGGAAATTTGGAATAAAGCAACGGAACCCAAGGGGCCAGCAGCTGGCCGAATTCATGGAGAAAGTGGGACTCTTTATGATGAACTCTTTCTTCCAGAAGCGGCCCCACAGGAAGTGGACCTGGTCGAGCCCCAATGGTTCGACAAAAAATGAGATTGACTTCATTATGACGACCAGACGACAACTGTTCAGTGATGTCTCAGTGATCGCAAGGGTGAAAACCGGCAGCGATCACCGAATGGTTAGAGGCACACTGAACCTAAACGTTAAGTTGGAGAGGTCTCGTCTAATGAAATCAACGCTCCGTCCCCCTCGTGCTCTAATCCAAGGTCCCGTAACCTTTCAGCTCGAGTTACAATACCGTTTTCAGAGCCTAGAAGACTGTAATGAAGTGGACGATTTGAATGACAAGCTCGTGGAAACTGTCCATGCTGTCGGAGCTAAGTTCTGCACAAAACAACACAAAAACTCTCCGATCACACTCTTAATCTCATGGCTGTTAGACGGGAGATGAAGCTACATTCTTCAATAGATTTGACGGCATACAGGCAACTGAACAGACAGATCTCCAAATGCATGCGGCGGGACTTACGCAACTTCAATACAGCTCGTATTGAAGAAGCGATCGAGCGGAACCAAGGCTCCAAAGTCTTTTCCAGAGATCTGTCTGCCAGAAAGAGCCAACTGTCAAAGCTGAAGACCGAATGTGGCAGCATCGTTTCCGGGGCACCTGAGATTTTGAGTGAGAATGAGAGTTTCTATGGGCAGCTGTACACGTCATCGTTGGAGCCGCACGCAAGTGTGAGTAACGATCCAAGAGCGAGTCTTATCCGATATTATTCCGATGATATCCCGGATGTCAGTCTGAGCGAGATTAGAATGGCTCTCCAGCACCTTAAAAACGGCAAAGCCCCAAACGAGGATGGAATTACAGCGGAGCTTCTGAAAGCGGGTGGAAAACCGGTACTTGAAGTCCTTCAGAAGCTCTTTCATTCCGTCCTCCATGATGGCATTACACCGGAGGCGTGGAGCAGAAGTGCGGTGGCCTTGGTCTTCAAGAAAGGCGACAACGCTCTATTGAAGAACTACAGACCGATTTCCCTTCTGAGCCGCGTCTACGTGTTGTTTTCGAGAGTCATTACGAATCGTCTCGCGCGCAGACTTGACGACTTCCAGCCTCCCGAACAAACCGGTTTCCGAAAAGGCTTTAGCACCATAGACCACATACATACCCTTCGGCAAATTGTACAGAAGTCCGAGGAGTACAATTTGCCCTTATGTCTGGCGAATGTGGACTATGAGAAAGCCTTTGATTCCGTCGAAATTTGGGCGGTGCTGCAGTCCCTTCAGCGATGCTAAGTTGACTGTCTGTATATCGAAGTGTTGAAGTGCTTGTACAGTATTGCTACGATGGCTATCCGAGTACAGAACCAGAGTACGAAACCTATCCAATTGCAGAGAGGTGTAAGACAGGGTGACGTCATATCCCCGAAACCCTTCACCGCTGCATTGGAAGATGTTTTCAAGCTTCTGGACTGGGAAGGATACTGTATCAACATCAATTGCGAGTACATCACTCACCTTCGATTTGCCGACGATATAGTCCTTATGGCAGAATCGCTGGAGGACCTAAGCACTATGCCCAATGACCTCAATAGTGTTTCCCAACGGATAGGTCTTAAGATGAACATGGACAAAGTAAAGATCATGTTTAATGTCCATGTCACACCTATGCCGGTAGTTTTTGGGAACACAAAGCTCTAAGTTGTTGATGAGTATGTTTACCTGGGACAAATAGTCCGACTAGGTAAGTCCAACTTCGACCGAAAGGTCAATCGACGGATTCAACTCGGTTGGGCAGCTTTCGGGAAATTACGACACATCTTCTCGTCAGGTATACCTCAAAACTTGAAAACGAGACTGTACAACCAGTGCGTGTTGCCAGTGATGACATGCGGAACTGAGACGTGGTCCTTCACTGCTGGCCGGATGACGAAGCTCAAGGTCGCTCAGCGAGCTATGGAGAGGGCTATGCTCGGAGTTTCTCTGCGTGATAAACTCAGAAATGAGGATATCCGCAGTAGAACCAGAGTGACCGACATAGCCCAACGGATTAGTAAGCTGAAGTGGCAATGGGCTGGCCATATAGCTCGAAGAACCGACATTCGATGGGGAAGTAAGGTTCTCGAGTGGCAGCCTCGTACCGGCAGACGAAGTGTAGGGCGTCCCCCCACTATATGGAGTGACGACCTGGTAAGATATGCAGGAAGTCGATGGATGCAGGTGGCTCAGGACCGTGCTTTGTAGCATTCTTTGGGGGAGGCCTATGTTCAGCAGTGGACTTGTGAAGGGCTGTAATGATAAAATGATGATGATGATTTTAATACAGCCAATGGCATGATCCGGGTCAGGGAATAGGGCAAGTTTAAATTTTTTAACTGTGGGATAATGTTAAAGAAAATTCCTTTACCTATTCAAGAAACGTTTTTCGTCTTATTTCATCCGTTTTATTACATGCGAGGTAAAAACATTTTAAATTACAAACTATTCATTCAGAAACTTAGGATGACTTAAAACGAAAAAAATTTCAACGGTTCATAAATAACTGGACTGTTTTTTTTTTAAACAGCTCGTAAGAGAAAATGTATCGTTTTTAAAAAGTCAAACGCAGTATTTGTTTAAGCTAAATGTAGAATACCGCTAAACCCCATTCAAACCCCCTCCGAACGGGTTCCCGCCTTGTCGTGGCGGGGGCTTAGTAGCCGTAGCTTGGTTACACATGGAGAACGAAGAGAAACCTATATGACTGGCCCGAGTTAAACAGCCGGCTCAAAGAGCATACCCCGAGTGGGCTTGGCGAGCCCACTTCGGATAACATATATCCGGGCATGGGCTGCGGCGAGAGCGGTGCCCTCTTCCCCTAACGCCGCAGCCAAGGTGGAGTTGCGGAGGAAGAGGAGTGTTGTCCACTGCGACTCTGACGGGGCCGTACAATTGATGCGGTTATGGTAGGGCTTCGGGGGGAGAGGAGTGTTGGTATTGCGAGGTGCCAATCTCCCTACCCCTCGCAGCCGAATTTTGGTTGGCGGTGATAGATTAGATCCATCGCTGGGGTCCTGAAGGCTAGTGCTTTTGAGTGATCGTTTCCCCTGGCCCCATGGCGTTCGCACATTGGACACGGGGGCGTCTGTTGCGCGGGTAAAGTTCCACTCCAACGCAAATCCGATATAACCATCCTTACCTCCCCGAGGCAAGTATGCGTAGGCATTTCCCCATGTAAACAAAAAAGACACTGTCCAAAATTTTGATCATTGGTTGGTTTACATTTTCTATGTTATTTTCGCATTTGTCGAATTTACATCGTAGTTATGTAGGTCAGGTTAAGAAAATTATATGATGAATAGGGTGTGTTTATAAGGCGATCTAATGTGGTTTATAATATAGTGTACATCGGATCACAAGACACGTAACTAACGCAAACGAGGAGAGATGTAGATGTCTATGGGCCTCAGCAACCACTTACCATCAGGTGGACTGTGCGCTCGTTTTTTACTCTATTTCTAAAAAAAATCTTACCTACTCCATAACATTCTGAGAGAAAAGGGAAAAAAGATAGGTACTTTTATATCAAAAAGAATCTGAATCCCAGTGAGCTGAAAGGGTGAGACAAAAATTGTAACGGTTATTTTTTATAGGAGAGGGGCAAACGAGCATGCGGCTCACTTGATAGTAAGTGATTACCGCTGCCCATGATCAGCTGTAACAGCAGGAGAATTGCAGATGCTTTGCCAAAATGCGTTAACGGGAACTTATGCAGATGTGGTATAACAGATTTATAAGAATTATTTAAAACAAACATCAAACTGATACAATTTTCAATTTTGTCAAATATCACTCATATGAAGTAATCTATGGGGGAGGCCTATGTTCAGCAGTGGATACTTGGTAGGCTGTAATGTAAGGTTAATGTATATAATTAAATTTTATACTTTCTGCTTTTATAATAGTACTCTCTCAAAAAGTCAAGGTAAATTAGAATTTATGAAAAAATGAAGAATAATTAAGCACGCGTTTGCTTTCAGTCGAATATCGTAGGATGAATGTAATCAAAGAAAGTTATCACAATAATCCCATCGATTAAAAAAAAATATAAAATTACATAAAAAGTTAAAAAATATATATTAAAAAATATTTACTTTCCATCTTGAACACCATTCCCAAAATTAAAAGTGAAACAAGAACTCCATACACCGGCTTAACTAAACCAGAGTATACGGCCTTGAGGAGAAGAGGAGGTGATGCACCATCCATATAGAACAAACCACTGCATAGAATCACTCCAATGCCAACAGGAAAGATAGCCCAATACAAAAATTTGAATTTCTGAAAAACAAAAACGGCAATACTGCAATAGATAAAAACTATATTATGTGAATAAATATTTAATCTATGTACAGCAATGATATTGTAGTTTTAATATAATAAAATTTTGTGATCTGAGCCTGTATTCTGTCGCGCACCTGAGGAGAAAATGAGTTGTTTTTTCCTGAGGAAGGGGCGCTTAAATGCGGCTGGCGTTGGCATAGCTGCATATGTGTGTGAAAGCATTCCCTTACATGCGTAGAAAATGTATCGAATAATCAGTGTCTGTCATAAGCCGACCTTGCTTCCGCTAAGCAGGTATGCGTGGCAATTTCTCCGTGAAAAAGAAAGCTGCTTTTATGTAAACGTTGAAATTTGTGGCACTACAATATAACTGACGCTGTAGATGTAAATAGCTACCTATAATACATATTCGGCACTTGTTGGTGTGAAAAACTTCGAACAGAAAGTATAAGTACTTTTCAAAATAAGCCTGATCGAACAAAGACAAATTATTTTTTCTTTCTTATCAACTACTATAATAATCTTAACTTTGATCTTATTATACTATAAAGTTATGTAATAACAAAAATGTTTATTATTTACCCTGTATTTTTTAATGTTGAATTTTTCCTTCTGCATTTTGTGTATTAACAAACCAAGAACAAGACCTAAAATGTAACTGGCCAAGTTGGTATGACCACGCTTATACGTGTGGTTGAATGTTGGATCTGCTACGAAAAAAGACCGAATCGATCTGTTGGAGAAAATTTATTTATTTTTAATATAAGAAGGTTCAAACTTAACTAAATATCGAGGAGCGTAAAAAAATAAAAAAATATTGGTATAAAAAAATAAAGAAGAAGCAATCCTAGCTACCAAATCAGATCATAGTTGTGTTTTTTTTTTATTTAAAATTGGCGTGCTAACTCAATTTCATAAATAAGTCCTGGCTACAGCTAATGGCTTATAGCTGTAGGAATATTAGATCATAATTACTGTCGTTATGATTTCCCTATCCAAGCTAAATTGCAAAATTCAACTTGCATAACAAATGCATGACGATATCAGAAAGAAAATTTTATATATATATATATATATATATATATATATATATATATATATATATATATATATATGTGTGTGTATATGTATATATGTATAATAATATTAAAGAATTTTTTAAAGTAGACATCATATTCCTATTTTCAGTTTCAGATCACTCTCATAATTACGTATTTGTTCTCTCGTACGCAATGACAATTACATATTCAACGTTCGTTCGAATTTCAAAACCATAAAGCAACGCGGGCCGCCGTTATCGGACAACATGTTCAAACATATACTATTTTATGAATGAATCCCAAAAGACTTTTAAATGCATTTCGTCCAGCCAATGATCAGATCTTTTTAAATATGTCAAATTAACCAACACAGATATTCGTGCGGGGAGGGAGGTAAACAAGTTCACGTAGTAGGTACCAAAAACTAAAAATTTGTACTCAAAATTATTTTGCCTTCTCAAATACTAACTATACCTTTACAGGTACATTTTTAGTTTCGCTAATGCAGTCGAAAAAATAATAATTTGTCCACATCGTCATTCGCATTTCTTCTCCTCAAGCTCTTTTCTTATTTTTGTACATTAATATTAATTAAAGGAAAATGTTTCTAAGAGGTTTTTAATTGGTTTTTACGCCATTAATTTTGTTATAACATATAATATATTATGTTAAAATATTTGAATACTTATAAAATATAATAATTTTTTTATAGTGTAAAAATTTTGTTATATTTTATGAACACGGCGCTCGGCCTTTGATCTAATGAAAGTGACATTTTCTTTTTACAATGAAATCAGAATACTACACCTACCGCAGTACTTTTTTGTGAACAATGTTTCTTGTTTTTCTTTCGGGTGCTAGAATCACCAGGCTACTCTGTGCGCTTCCTCTGGAGCATGTCACATACAACCGACCGTGGTAGAAGCAGATTTCTCTCAAGTCTACACCCGCTACCTTAAGAGTTCGACCTTGAGCTTTGTTTATGGTTATAGCAAAGCAGACTTTGATAGGAAACTGCACTCTCTTGATTTCGAACGGGTAATTTGATGGTGTTAGAGGAATTGTAGGAATAAATACAGATACTTCTCAAGAACAACCTGTCAGTATAATTGCGTTGATTACATTGCGATGCAATATTTTCACTTGCAATCTGGTGCCATTGCATAATTTTGGTGGATTTATATTGCGCAGTAACATAATTGGCGCATCATCTAACTCGTAATTTTAATATTTGTGTTGCGAGACCGGGAGGCTTCAGTGTATTTAAGAACTCGGCCAGATAATAAACGGCATCATCGGTGTTTATCACTGAGTCAACGTATTTATATTGATATTCGACCCCTTCAAATGATCTCAAAAGTATTTCATTAATTAATGAGGCTTGTTCGTTTTTTGGTTTTAGGATGGCACGCTCGCATAACCGTTCTGCAAGTTTGTCGTGAATATTATAAATGTTTTGGTAAATTTTAGCTATAAGCTCTTGTACAGTTGAAACTCATATTTTTGGTAAGGCTCAGTTTTGTCACTGAAGGCCACACTTGAGACCGCTTCACGCACTCTTTTATTTCGTCCGCTCGAGTTACTCTGGGCACTACTGGTAGTCTGCCGGAAATACCCTGCGACAATACAGTAAGTCCTCCCATTTGACAATATTTATTTTTAATTATATTGTAAAGATCTATTTGGGGTATCAAACCTCCTTTATGAGCAATGCTTGGTAAAAACGTACTCTTTTGATGTATGATATGATATGATATGTTATAATGTATACACTTCTTTTGTCCCATGATTGTTGCCATGACGGTCTAAAGACATAACAGCTAATTCATCCCAATTATTCGTCACATGACGCACATTTTCTTTACGAATATCCATTGAGCGTTCTTGTGTGCCGTACAACAAATAAGAAAGCGTACGGAAAACGTATGCGCCATCCCCCACTATTGGTACAATAGTAAGGCTTATTAATTTCCTATTGATCAAACAAATTTATAAATATAAGAAAAACAATACACACTAAATTAAACTTTTATGACAAACTGCTACCTACTTAAATATCTATATTAAACAAAAAGAAAACTATATTATTATACACAATAAATCAAACATATATTTTTACACTTAAAACTAAAAACATATATTATACACTAACAAATCAAACTCAAAGAATCTTTCAAATAAAACTAGTTTTACAGATTTTATCGCGTTTATTAACTTACTAGCTGTGCCCCGCGGTTTCACCCGCGTCATCACGTGTCGGAGGTGCGCGACATGACATGACACCTAGTTCAAGCATTTTATAATTGCTATTAAATATTTTATTTGATATCAATGTATGGAAAACATAGTATAATTAATGGAGTACTTTTATCTGTCGGTATATTATGTATGATGTAAAGCGAAGTTTTATCCACTTCTCCCCCCCCCCTCCCCCCACGTCCCATAAAATGTCCCGAAGCGCGGTTTTTCCAGTTTTAAAGAAAACCGTACATAAAAAGTGTAGGCATGAAATGATTCTTGAGCTATCAAACTCTTATACTTATTAATCAATTAAATTTTCAAAATACCATAGCAATGTGAAATGAAAGAGTCCAGAAATAAAGATGTGAGTAATCATTGTCATAAAAGTAATCAATTAATTTTTAATTTATTTGTGTAATTAAGTGTATGTAAGTAATTAAGTGCGGTGGTCTTGTTCTTCAAGAAAGGCGACAACGCTCTCTTGAAGAACTACAGACCGTTTTCCCTTCTGAGCCGCGTCTACGTGCTGTTTTCGAGAGTCATTACGAATCGTCTCGCGTGCAGACTTGACGACTAGCCTCCCGAACAAGCCGGTTTCCGAAAAGGCTTTAGCACCATAGACCACATACATACCCTTCGGCAAATTGTACAGAAGTCAGAGGAACACAATTTGGCGTATGTGGACTATGAGAAAGCCTTTGATTCCGTCGAAATTTGGGCGGTGCTGCAGTCCCTTCAGCGATGCCAAGTTGACTGTCGGTATATCGAAGTGCTGAAGTATTGTACAGTAGGGCTTCGATGGCTATCCGAGTACAGAACCAGAGTACGAAACCTATCCAATTGCAAAGAGGTGTAAGACAGGGTGACGTCATATCCCCGAAACTCTTCACCGCTGCATTGGTAGAAGTTTTCAAGCTTCTGGACTGGAAAAGATGCGGTATCAACGACAATGGCGAGTACATCACTCACCTTTGATTTGCCGACGATATAGTCCTTATGGCAGAATCGCTAGAGGACCTAAGTACTATGCTCAATGACCTCAATAGTGCTTCCAACATGGACAAAACAAAGATCATGTTTAATGTCCATGTCACACCTATGCTGGTAGTTGTTGGGAGCACTAAGCTCGAAGTTTTTGACGAGTATGTTTACCTGGGACAAATAGTCCGACTAGGTAAGTCCAACTTCGACCGGGAGGTCAATCGACGGATTCAACTCGGTTGGGCAGCGTTCCGGAAATTACGGCACATCTTCTCGTCAGGTATACCTCAAAACTTGAAAACGAGACTGTACAACCAGTTTGTGTTGCCAGTGATGACATGACGGAACTGAGACGTGGTCCTTCACTGCTTGCCGTATGAGGAAGCTCAAGGTCGCTCAGCGAGCTATGGAGAGGGCTATTCTCGGAGTTTCTCTGCGTGATATACTCAGAAATGAGGATATCCGCAGTAGAACCAGAGTGACCGACATAGCCCTACGGATTAGTAAGCTGAAGTGGCAATGGGCCGGCCATATAGCTCGAAGAACCGACAACCGATGGGGGAAAAATGTTCTCGAGTGGCAGCCTCGTACCGGCAGGCGAAGTGTTGGGCGTCCCACCACTAGATGGAGTGACGACCTGATAAGATATGCAGGAAGTCCATGGATGCAGGTGGCTGAGGACCGTGCATTGTGGCATTTCTTGGGGGAGGCCTATGTTCAGCAGTGGACTTGTGAAGGACTGTAATGATGATGATGATGATAATGATCGAACTAACCTCGCTCATAGAAGCTTTCATTCTCGCAGTCCTCACCGGGCGGCTAGGGTTTATGCATTGTTCGTGCGCCCAGCCATGTATTGAATTATTTTAATTTTACATTATCTCTTAAACTATGCGTCCAAATAACATGGTATAAAGATCAAAGTTTATCTTCATAAAATTGTCTTGATGATGAAGTAACTTTCGTTCGTAAGGAAAAATGGGCCATACCTAATAATAACGCCCATAAATCACTTTTTAATTATCCATATTTTTTTTGTCACAAAATACCTAATTATGGCTTATGTATAAGAAATAGACATATGATATCGCGGACTTTTTTTTAGACGGAGTAAAGATCTATATTTTTCTAGAACATTGTATTTACGTATCCCTAAAGATAACACCAGCGTACGCGGATAAATCATTTCGGGAGTGCTTTTTCTTCTGATTTGCATAAAATATATCCATATTTAAGGCTAACTGAGTGATATAGCTTAATGCTAGATAGCCGATACTATTTCACATGAATCTGGCTGTAATATACAAAAATAACTTTTCAAATCGGACTGGTAGTTCCAGAGATTAGCGCGTTTAAACAAACAAAAAAACAAAAAATTCTTCCCCTTTATTATATTATTAGTATTAATATAGATTTTATATTCCCGACGTTTCGAGTACATTTTTACACCACCCATGGTCACGGGGGGGAC